CAGACAGGAAGTAGAGGTGGAGCAAAGAGAACGGGAGTATTCTGGGAAGCAGGAAGCTTCCTCCACCATTCCTGCCCAGACCACCAAAGGAGCAACATGTAAGCTGACAGCTGAAAAAGGTACCAAGCCATATGGCTAACATAGATCAGAATAATGGGTTAATATAAGCTATAAGAGTTAGCCAGAAGCCAGAGCTAAGGGCCAATCAGTTTATAATCTTATAGAGTCCTGTGTGTGATTTTATTTACAACTTGCCAGCTGTGGGGTACCGGACAGGACAGATACCCCAACAAACAAGCCAGCCCCTCTTGTTACACAGCACCCCATCCCATTTATCTCTCTGATCCCCCCCCAAAAAAAAGAAAATCTAAAAGAAAAAAATCTTGTCGTGGTTCTGGACCTGGTTCTTGGTTGGTCAACCCACCAGCTGTCCCTCATCCTCTCCTCCAGGCAAGCTCCCCATCACTGCCCCAGCTAGCTAACCCAACAAGCAGCAAGGGTGGGGGGCATTCTCCTGCTCTCACACCCTCAGGGCCAGCTTACCAGCACCCACACCACCAGGTCATCTCTGCTGTGCTGAAAAACTAACGATTTAATACATACAAAAGACATCTACAACTCAAAGGTCAAATACTAAAATATTCTTCCTTGATAGATAAAATCATGCAAAAGATGTGAACAGATAATGTATAGAAGAAAAATAGGGAATAGCTTAGCAATTTTTAGTAAAGCACTCCACCATGTAAAGTCAAGAGTTACCATATTCCAGCAGACCTGGAGAGGTTACTGGTAGGAAAATGCATTCCCTATCATACCTGAGTTCAGTCCTAAGAACACAGACTCCTGAAAAGTTGTTTGATTTCCACATGTGCATTGTGCCTTGCCCTCCCACAACACTAATTTAATTAACTAATTAGTTAATTTTAAATGAACACAAAATATTAGGTTGGAAACACTTCTGCCCTGAGGTCTTTGTGTGGGTTTGTTGTTTTGTTTTTCTTGCTTTGTTTTGTTTGAGGATGAGGGGAAAGGACTCTGTTGTTGGGGAGATGCTCAGTGGTTAAGAGCACTGGCTGTTCTTCCAGAGGGCCTGGGTTCAGTATCCAGCACCCACATGGCAACCCACAGCCATCTGTAACTCTAGTCAGGCTTTTTCTGTCCTGCCAGCCAGCTCCCAAATAACTACATGAAGACTTTTTATTAATTATGAATGTTGGGCCGATAGCTTAGGCTTGTTTCCAACTAGCTCTTTTTTATTGATATTTATTGAGCTCTACATTTTTCTCTGCTCCCCTCCCTCCCTCTCCCCTTCCCCTTTCAATCCACCCCCAAGGTTCCCATGCTTTCAATTTACTCAGGTGATATTGTGTAACATGAGGGGCCGGCTTGTTGGGATTTCCGTCCCGCCCGGTACCCCAACAGCCGGCAAATCCCAAAGAGAAATTACACACAGGACTCCATAAGGTTATAAACTGATTGGTCCATTAGGTCAGGCTTCTTGTTAACTCTTATAACATATATTACCCCATTATCCTTATCTATGTTAGCCACATGGGCTCAGTACCTTTCTCAGTGTGACAGCTTACATGTTGCCTCTTTGGTGGTCTGCGCAGGAATGGCTGAGGAACTTCTCTCCTCCCTAGCCTTATCCTATTCTCATTACTCCGCCTCTACTTCCTGTCTGGTTGACCCGCCTATACTTCCTGCCTGGCCAATCAGCGTTTTATTAAAATACATGATTGACAGAATACAGATAATTCTCCCGCACCAATATTGTCTTTTTTTACTTTCTAATTCCCATGTAGATTAGATCTATGTAAGTCTCTCTTAGTGTCCTCATTTTTGTCTAGGTTCTCTGGGATTGTGGTTTGTAGGCTGGCTTTCTTTGCTTTATGTTTAAAAACCATCTATGAGTGAGTACATGTGATAATTGTCTTTCTGGATCTGGGTTACCTCACTCAAAATAATGTTTTCTAGCTCCATCCATTTACCTGCAAAATTCAAGATGTCGTTATTTTTTTGTGCTGTGTAGTACTCCATTGTGTAAATGTATCACGTTTTCCTTATCTAGTCTTTGGTTAAGGGGCATTTAGGTTGTTTCCAGGTTCTAGCTATGACAAACAAGGCTGCTATGAACATAGTTGAGCACATGTTTTGTGGCACGATTGAGCATCCTTTGGATATATACCCAAAAGTGGTATCACTGGGTCTTGAGGAAGGTTGTTTCCTAATTTTCTGAGAAATCACCACACTGACATCCAAAGGGGTTGTATCAGCTTGCTTTCCCACCAGCAATGCAGAAGTGTTCCCTTTTCCCCACATTCTCTCCAGCATAAGTTGTCATCAGTGTTTCTGATCTTGGCCATTCTTACAGGTGTAAGATGGAATCTCAGAGTTGTTTTGATTTGCATTTCTCTGATGACTAAGGATGTTAAACATTTCCTTAAGTGTCTTTCAGCCATTTTAGATTCCTCTGTTGAGAGTTCTCTGTTTAGGTCTGTACTCCATTTCTTTCTTTCTTTTTTTTTTTGGATTATGTGTTCTTTTCATGTCCAATTTCTTGAGTTCTTTGTATATTTTGGAGATCAGATCTCTGTCTGATGTGGGGTTACTGATCTTTCCCCATTCTGTAGGCTGTCATTTTGTCTTGTTGACCATGTCCTTTGCTTTACAGAAGTTTTTCAGTTTCAGGAGGTCCCATTTATTAATTATCTCTCTCAGTGTCTGTGCTGCTGGGATTATATTTAGAAAGTGGTCCCCTGTGCCAATTCATTCAAGTGTACTTCCCACTTAATCTTCTATAAGGTTCAGTGTGGCTGGCTTTATGTTGAGGTCTTTGATCCATTTGGACTTGAGTTTTGTGCATGGCGATAGATATGGGTCTATTATCATTCTTCTACATGTTGATATCCAGTTATGCCAGCACCACTTGTTAAATATGCTTTCTTTTTTTCCATTTGATTTTTTTATTTCTTTGTCAAAAATCAGGTGTTGGAAGATGTGTGGGTTGATATCCAGGTCTTCTATTCCGTTCCATTGGTCCTCCTGTCTGTTCTTATGCCAATACCAGGCTGTTTTCAGTACTGTAGCTCTATAGTAGAGTTTGAAGTCAGGGATTGTGATGCCTCCAGAAGTTCTTTTATTGTAAGCCAACTAGCTCTTATAAGTTAAAAAATATCCCTTATTTTTATTAATCTACGGTCTGCCATGTGACTTTTACCTCTATCCCATTTTATGTGTCCAATTTGTCCTGCATCTAACTGACTTCTTTGCACTTTTTTCCCCTAGATTCCTCTGTGTCTTGAAATTCTGCCTAGTTACTGGCTGTTCAGCTTTTTATTAAGCCAGTCACAGTGACATATCTTTACACGGTGTGAAGGAATAGTCTGCAACATGTGACTCCAGTTCCGGGGGGTCTGACACCCTCTTCTGGCCTTTATGGGCACTGGAGGCGTGTAGTGTACAGATATGCATGCAGATAAGATGCCCATACACTTTAGATGGGTCAACATTATTATTAATGTATATATCGAGAGCTGATGAGAGTAACACTACTGGATAGACAGAATCGAGTGCCCAAAATCAACAATATGTACCAAGAAGGTTTCAAGGTTAGTGTCTTTAAATCTAGCCATTATCCTAGAAGTATTGATTTTTACTCTTCTATTAGTTTCGAATGGTTTATCCTAAGGACATCTTTAAACATGGACAAAAGCAAGGTGTAGTAGCCCATCCTGTGGGCCCAGTACTCAAGATTTTGAGTTTGAAGTCAGCTGGATTATGTAGCAAATTTAAAGTCAGGCTAAAATACAAAATGAGACTCCCTCACCAAATTAGATAAAATCAAAGTGCAAAAGGTGTTCATGCGATGTTTAAAATACTTTGAAAACTGAAAGCAGTGTGATAAGGCCAACCATGTTACATCTCAATGGAATATATCCCAGGCATTTCAGATTCTATTTATAAAATGTTTAGTATGTAAATGGTGCTACAGTGAAATGAGCAAAATCATCAAGGTTCTATAGCTATGACTATACAAAAGACATCTAGGCTCAGGACTTGACTGGGATGAGAAGTATATTAACAGGTTATCCTTTAACAGAGATTCCTATGGGTGCTTGGCTATTCTTCCCCCCCCCCCCCAAGACAGGGTTTCTCTGTAGCTTTGGAAGCTGCCCTGGAACTAGCTCTTGTAGACCAGGCTGGCCTCGAACTTACAGAGATCCGCTCACCTCTGCCTCCCAAGTGCTGAAATTAAAGGCATGCACCACCACTGCCTGGCCCATTCTTTCCAGGTTTCTGGATCTAGGAAGTTCTCTGGAACTGGAGAGATAGCTCAGTCCGTGAAGTGCTTGTAGATTACAAGCCAAAGGACCTGGTTCGATCACCAGAACCCATGAAAAGGAAAAAAGTTGAAGGATAGTGTAGCTTACAATGCACAAGATTGGGGAATGGAAGCAGATGAACCCTGAGGTTCATTGACTAACCAGCCTTCTCGGTGAACCCTGAGTCACCGAGAGACCATATCTAAAGATATATTTTTTTAATCTTTAATTAAAAAAAACAAGTTAGGGACAGGAGAAAAGGCTTCATGATTAACAGAGCTTATTGGTCTTCCAGACAACCTGGGTTCAATTCCCAGCTCCCACACTGAATGGCTCACAACCACCTGTAACTCCAGCTCCAGGGGATCTAATGCCCTCTTCTGGCCTTTATGAACAACTTCATACACATGAGTGGACACACACACACTCAAATACAAGATAGATAATTATTTAAAACAAAAAAACAAGGTAGACGGTTCCCAAGAAACAATACTTAAGGTTGTTGTCCTTTGAGCTCATGTGTATATGCACAAGTGTGTGTACATGCAAGTGCATGCAAACACAAAGCACCCTTTGTTACAGAAAATGGCATAATGGAAAACATACTAAAAACTTAAGTGTCTGTGTGTGTGTATGCATGCACATCCATATCTGTGTCTTTTGTTCCATGCCCAGGTCTTTTGGAGTGTTGCTGTGGGAAATATTTTCTCTTGGGTATATGCCATATCCCAGCAAGAGCAACCAGGAAGTTCTGGAGTTTGTCACCAGTGGAGGACGGATGGACCCACCTAAGAACTGCCCCGGGCCTGTGTATGACCTTTGGGAACTTCCTACTAGAAACTGAGCACGGTCTTGTTTTTAAGTATTTCGATCCACATATGCTCTTTTAGTATTAAAGGGGAAGTGGTAGCCTTTTTTAAGATGTCCCCAAACACAGGGTGCCACAGACTTCAGTAAGATGGGTTGGTCTTCCAGCCCTTCAAACACAATAATGTCACCCCAGAAAGATGTCCATTGCCAGGCTGGAGGCTGTGGACTCACTAGCTCTCCACTTCAGAATCGCCCCTCGAAATGTGCGTCACAGACACAAGGGGTCAGCCCAGCACTCTAATGGCCCTTAAATAGTGTGTGTGTATGGTTTGTTTTTGTTGTTGATGATGTTTTGGTTTTTTTCTTTTTCTGCCCCTTGAGGTATCCTTTCACCTCTTTTCCAAAAGCAAAATGGGGAATAAAAATACTCCATTCTAAACATGGCTTCAGGAAAGTGGGATTTGATGTAAACAACTGGGTATCTTTCACGAGACTTACATCTAGGCGTGATTCCCTCTCCCACCAGCAGGGGCAGAATAGGTCAACCATGTGGACCTTGATGGTTTCCCATCCTTAAAGCTTTGGCTAAAATTGAGAAAAGAGCTGGGAGCGACAAAGCCTTCCCCGGGTGCTTCTTCTATTAACGTGCTTGTTCTTTCAGCTACCGGATAATGACTCAGTGTTGGCAGCATCAACCTGAAGACAGACCCAACTTTGCCATCATTTTAGAGAGGATTGAGTACTGCACCCAGGTAAATGGTTTCCTTCCCTTGTCCAGACTTTAATCTCCATTGGAACATTTTCTGTGATTCGATATTTTATATTTATAATCTTGTAAGATTGGTGATCGTGAGATTCGATATTTGTGATCTCTGAAATGGTGTGATTGACATCCCACTTTGCCCATGTTCTACAATAGACACTGGAACGTCTACGATCTTCACTACCACGTGTTAGTTACAGCACCAGACAGACTCTGTTCACTTCAAAAGCATTAGCTAATGCTCTAGATAGTTAATGGGCTTTCGTTGTCATCTTCTAACAATTAAAGTATAATTACATCATTTTCCTTTCCTCAACCTCTCCAACCACCCCCACCCAGCTTCTTTACTGCCTTTCAAATTCATGACCTCTTTTTCTTTGATTGTTATTGTTACATATATGTACATATAAATATAATCTCTTGAGTCCATTTTGTGTTAGTTATATATATGTGATTTCAGGGTCAACCACTTGATATCAAATAACAAATTAGAGGACTCCACTCTGGGGAGCCATCATTATTGACCACAGTTCTTTGTCTAGGCTTGGGGCCCCTGAGATTTCCCCTTTCCACGTTAGGTGTCTGTTGATGTCCAGGTTTTGTTTAGGCAGCCATCTTTGTTGTAGCGCCATGGGTAGCTAGATAGTTAGTGATCTATCCAGTGGAGCTGGGTTTTCAAAGGAGAATGAAAGATCTCAAGACTTCCAACCAGGCTAGACAAATAATCACATTAAGTAGATAGATAGTAACTCAATGACTGCTAAAGCAATCAGGAGAAACATTCAAACCATCCATCAGGAGCACTTGCGTGGGTTATACCACACAAACTGCTTTTCCAGGTCTTTTTATGTTGTTCTCATGGAGGATTCATTTTACCCCATTTTACAGAGGAAGGGACTGGGCTTGGAGAAGCTGTCCAAGCCACAAGGATGCCTAGCAGTCCTGGGTACTCTGTAGATCCCTCTCCTACTTCCTCCCATCTTGACTGAAGTGTGAGTGTTCACTTTCATCTTTAGCATGTACCTTCCACTCACCATCACGTGGGATAGTCGTGGGGGGGGAGAGATGCTCTCCTCCCTCTCTCCGGCACAGACTTGCCAGCAGCGACCCCGTTCCCCAGTCCATCCCCCTATCAGGATGTCACCAGCTACCCCTCAGGACTTCACATCAGTTTCTGCTTTTCTCTCTACTATGTCCAATCTTTCCCTCCCTCCAGACTCCGATCTTTATCAGGGTTCGAAATTCAATCAGCATATTCTCCCTATACCTCAACACCCTCGCCCTTCGACTTCTACTTATGTTCTCCCTCCTCCCCATCCCCAACCCCCTCCATCTGTACCCCCTCCATCTCCTTGGCATCTCCCAAACATGGGCCCTTCCCAACTTCGAGTCTTCTTTTGGTTGTTGCTCATCTTTGTTGCGTGCCCGTCGGATAACCCATTAAGTCCAGTTAGTGCTACCCATGTGTGTCAGTTAGGGTCACTATTGCTATGATGAGACACTGTGACCAAAAGCAATCTGGGGAGGAAAGGACTTATTTGCCTTACACTTCCATATCATAGCCCATTACTGAATGAAGTTCGGGCAGGAACCTGGAGGCAAAAACTGATGCAGAGGCCATGGAGGGGTGCTGCTTCCTGGCTTGCTTCCAATGGCTTGCTCAGCCTGCTTTCTTATAGAACCCAGGACCACCAGCCCAGGGATGGCCCCACCCACAACGAGCTGGGCCCTCCCCCATCAATCACTAATTTAAGAAAAAGCTCTACTGGCTTGCCTATGGCCCAATCTTATGGAAACTTTTCTCAATTGAGTTTCCCTGCTCTCAGATGACTCTAACTTGCGTTGATTGACATAAAAACCAGTCCACACACCGTATTTACATGGGGATGGGCTCATCTGCTGGAGTGTGGAAAACCTACGGGTGGCCACATCACTGAGATGTTTTAGAAAAGTCAAACAATGAGCCACCATGTCTCTAAATTCTCTCGACTGGGACCAGGGACTGACAGCTTCTCCAGACTTCAGCAGCTGTCTAGTTAGCTGTACTATCTCAACCCTCTCAGGGCTTTTGCTGTAAAGGTGAGGTGCCTCCTTCATCAAGATGGGCTTCAGTGACCATGTTATCTCGGGGCTGTTTCAGGGAACCTTGCTTAATAACAATTTATTATGTTGTAACAGGAATAGGATGCACTCATAAACATATATATACATTCATACCTTTCTTTTGGGGGTGTTTTCTCCAAGATACATTTGCAAAAGCAGGTGACTCTACAGCTGCATATTTTAATGACTGTGAGAGCCAGAAACAGGCAAGAAATTTGATGGCTTTTGTTTTTGTCTGTTGTTTTGGTTTTTCGAGATAGAGTTTCTCTGTGTAACAGCCCTAGCTGTCCTGGAACTAGCTCTTGTAGACCAGGCTGGTCTCAAACTCACAGAGATCGGCCTGCCTCTACCTCCCGAGTGCTGGGGTTAAAGGTGTGCGCCACCACCGCCCAGCTATGAAATGACTTTTTAAAAGATGCCTGATGCTGTTTTCTTAAACCCTTTGCTGACAGATGCCAGACCTGTGTGCTCTTCTGTAAAACTTAAGTAAAGGAGGTTTTCCCTCCACTTTCATATACTATTACTGAACTAAATTTCCCCCAAGTTTTTGCCCACAAATTTTCCATAAACCCTTGGCAACTGTGTCTGCTTTCCTGTTACAGTCCATGATGACAGCGATAGTCTAGCACCAAGCTGCTTTTGTGAATGGCTTTTCCTCATCACAGTTGAGACTTTGCTCCACTCCACAAAAGCCCCGTCATGTCTGAATGGGCAAATGAGTCTCTACAGCAGGACAGCAGCACATGCAATATCATACAACACGAAGTCACCACCAGGGGCCGATCACCCAAATATGAGGGAAACTCCAGGTGCTTGGGGAGAGAGCAAAGGACACCCTTTGGAAGCCAAGCATGGCGTCCTTCTCTGCCACCCCCCACCACAGCAAAACAGAAGCCACACGACCTTTGGTCTTTCAAGTTGCAAGACTGTGATTGGAAATAGACCATAATATTGTTAAAACAACGTTAAAAACAAAACCAACAAACAAAACTCAGGGACCTCAACTAGTTAAGGTTTTTACTTGCCAGAACCAAATAACTTAAGTTTGATCCCCAGGACCCACATAGTGGAAGACAGAGAACCTGCTCCATAGGGCTGTCCTTGACTTCCATACACACATCAAGGCACATGAATGTCCGAAGGCATCTACATACACACAATAAATTAAAACCTAATAAAGGTTTTAAAATCTGTAAAAAAAAAAAAAAATGCCCCAGGGCTTCTGCTGCATGGCTCCTATTCCACTGTCCCGGGGTGGGTGCCTACCAGCACCCCATAAGCACCTGGTACCCTCTCCTCTTACAGTGGTTTCTTCCAACGCTTTCAAGAACAGTGATGTCAGCCATTGCTTAGGCCTACCGGTTAATGTTTTAACATTACACCACGAGCAAAAGGATCTTGGGAAGGAGAGGTTCACTTCATCTTAACACTTGACAGTCCATAGTCATGGGTAGCCGGGGCAGGAGATCAAGGCAGGAACTAAAGGCGAGACCATGGCGGAAGACTGTTCATTGGCTTGCTTATTTTAAGACGACCCTGAACCTCCTGCCAGGGGTGACACTGCCCACAGTGGACCAGGCCCTCCCACATCAGTCATTAATAACCCACAGACATGGCCACAGGCCCACCTGATGGAGGCAATAACTCAGTTAAGGATACTACCTCCCAGGCGACCCTAGTTTGTGTCAAGTTGACAAAAATGTCTCATCTGTAAACAGGCGTTACTCTCTCTGAGATCTCTGAGATTCGACATCTCCGTGATTCCATTTTCAGCCATCCTTTCCCCTTCCTTCCTACAGGATCCGGATGTCATCAACACAGCTCTGCCCATAGAATATGGCCCAGTGGTGGAGGAGGAGGAGAAAGTGCCCATGAGGCCCAAAGACCCCGAGGGGATGCCTCCTCTGCTGGTGTCCCCCCAGCCCGCGAAGCACGAGGAGGCGCCCGCCGCCCCCCAGCCCGCAGCCCTAGCGGCGCCAGGTCCCTTGGTGAAGAAGCCCCCGGGGGCGGCCACGGGAGCAGGAGCGGGTGCGGGTGCGGGCCGGGTGCCCCGAGGGGCAGCCGATCGGGGCCACGTAAACATGGCGTTCTCTCAGTCCAACCCTCCCCCGGAGCTGCACAAGAGCATGGGCTCCAGAAACAAGCCCACCAGCCTGTGGAACCCCACCTACGGCTCGTGGTTCACGGAGAAGCCAGCCAAAAAGACCCATCCCCCACCGGGCGCCGAGCCACAGGCGCGGGCAGGAGCGGCAGAGGGTGGCTGGACCGGGCCGGGCGCGGGGCCCCGCAGACCCGGGGCTGCGCTGCTGCTTGAGCCATCGGCGCTGAGCGCCACCATGAAGGAGGTACCGCTGTTCCGGCTGCGCCACTTCCCCTGCGGGAACGTCAACTACGGCTATCAGCAGCAGGGTCTCCCCTTGGAAGCCACCGCTGCCCCCGGGGACACCGTGCTGAAAAGCAAGAATAAGGTCACCCAGCCAGGGCCCTGAGCCCCACGCCACACTAGTTTCTCCCCTTGGAGGAGCCGGAGCCCTCCCGGAGAGAGACGGACTGAACGCTCCACCACAAACCAGAGACCAAATATCACTTTCATTTTGTGCCAACTTGTTTTGAAGTGCCACATTTAAAAAATAATAATAATAAGGAAAACTTGTATTTTCAAGATGCGTTAGAAAGGTTTTTGAGCATGGGTTCATCTATCCTTTCGAACGAAGAAAATGCCATTTTTAAAAAAGCGATCAGTACAAGGCCCGGATTGGTTGCGTCAAGTTTCCATGCATGGTCCGCTGTACAGTCCCCTAAGGCTTCTTTCCGAATTTGTGTGCTCTCTGCTTCCGTGTAGTCAGGACTAGCTGCTTCCGTGTCTCATAGGGGGAGTTGTAGATGTTTCCTTGCCTGGTGGACATGAGCCATCGGAGGGGCGAGGGGACAGAAATGAAGAAATTAATTGCAATGACTTAGCATGGGAAGAGAAGTTATTTACTTGGAAAAGAAAACTCATAAGCTGACATCGCTGCGGGTGGTGGTTAGAGGCTGTTAATTGTCCTATCTCATTGCCTATTGTAAAAAAAAAAACAGTCGTGAATAGTTCGTAGTATAGTGAAAACGTGTATATATATATATATATTCATCTAAGCGAAATGCATACATCTCAAGTGCTTTGCGTAGAATGAAACACCAGTAGAGATCCAGCGATTCAAACGCCCTGTTAACATACCTCATGCCTTAAGAAATTCTTCCTACTAAAAGTTAAAATACCGAGTGTGAGGTTTCCTACTGAATTTAAAACTCAAGATTGAAATTCTTATATTTCAGACTTTCCATTAATTCAGATCTGATCACCTTAAAAAAAACATAAGTAGCAGTGATGCCTAGAAAGATACCCAGCTGTGGGCGTGTATGTCAGTACATGGGAGGCCCAGACCTTCCCATAGCAGAGTTCCTCCCCTTGGGGACTCACTGGGCTATTACAGGGGCTTAGACCCTGGCCCATCCTTCCCCAGTTCCCCCGAGCTTTCTCTCCCTTAGCCATGAGATCCTGGGGTGCTGGGAACACAGATGTGATCACATATTCACAGCATAATTTATATAGATCTCAGATGCAGATCACAGCAAAGCATTTCTCCTCTAGGTGGCAGTGAGGAAGGAATTACGTGTTGCTTGGACAGTTGAGGTTGTTGAGGTTGATGCTGTGTTTCGTGGGCGTTTCTGAACCTGGTTTTCACAGATGAAGTTTATTTCTATGAAATGGAATCAGGAACCCATTAAATTTTATACACATGCTTATGCAATGCCGAGTTTACCTGTATGTTTTTATTCCCCTTTCCTCCGCTTCTGTTTACTCACATCCGGTTCGCTGCGAAGTATCTCGTTGGGGAAAATGGTTTTGTTACTTGCTAGGTACAAAGCATTCCCAAGCATAGGGACTGGAAGTGTGTATGCGTGTGCGTGTGCACATGTGTGTGGGTGTGTGTGTGTCTGTGTGTCTGTGCACACATGCACAACTTTCTTCCACCTCCACTTCATCTACTTCAAAAGTGCCATTTCTGAGTGTAGGAGATCCATTGAGTTCTATGCCAATTCCAGACAACTTTTCCGTTCCCTTAAGGCAGTTGCCTGGCCCTCAAATTGGTTCTGAACATCTAAGGAGTCACTGGTAAGTCCAGAGACTACTTTCCCATAACCCCCGAGCAATTCCCATCTGATGTCCCTGAAGCTGGAAGACCTGTGCAACTGTATGGGTAACAGTTCTGAAAACGCTATCGGTAAAGTTCCGGTCTGTGCCAGCCTTGGCTCAAGTTTTGATGCAAAAATAGCCACACAATCAAAAAGCCTTGTTTCAGCTCACAAACCACTCCAAGAGGTTCCAGAATCTCCCTTTGAGAAACACTGTCCTGAAGGTTGATGCCAGAGGAGCTGTCAGTAACTGGGAAAACAGCACAGGTTTCTGACTGTAAAGTCACTAAACAACTGAGCAGGCAGTGTGCCCCGTGGCTAAAGAGCTAACCCTGTTATTAATGGGGGGTGGGGAATCTCGGCCCTTTCCTCTCTACAAACCTCCAGATTCAGGTTGTGCCTTACTACTGCTGATACGGATTTGTTGCTTCTCTCAAATTGTCTTTATTGGTATCGATGTTCATGTAAATGCCGGTCAAATCTTCAAGCCTGTGTACATGGATAAGTCAATAAACAACTCCACCCTGAACTACGGTAACATTAAGATGTTTCATTGAAGTTGGTGTAAACCCTAGGTGCCATGAATCTGGATTAGTGTCTGCTAAATATTCTGCCAGCCATATGGTTATGGCAATTTATACAGATACTGGACATTAATACATTCATTAACCATGACAGCAAGTTCCACATAGAAAGTGAACAGGTCCAATTACGGTTTGCAGGAGCCATGCTAATTAAACCATAAGCTAGTGTAATTATTTGTATCCCATGTCTGTAAAGAAGGAATCAAAAAGATCATGGCTGTTCCACTGTGGAACAGGCAATTTGTAAGGAATACCCAGTTTGTCAATATGTGACACCTCTAAATTATAGCCAATCAGAAGAGCTGGGACAATCTTTCTCTAAAGTACATTCTGTTTCGCAGACAAGACCAGACTCTCTTGCCCACAGTGGTGTCTGAGTCCTGGCCATCTGGAGATAAATCAACCTGTGGCACCTCCAGGCACAAAAAGATAATACTGCCCCTGCACCACTACCCCTGGGGAAGAAGATAAACTGTGACGTCACAAGCAACACTCTTGCCCTGAGAGGCTCTGGGGCTGGTTGTGCTACCCATACCTGGGGGAGGGGGGGGTCTCGGCTCTCCCATTGGTAGCATAGTTTCCCTTTATTTGCCACTTGTTTAACGACAGTCACGAAAGCACCATCCTGACCAGTTCCTTTTTGGCTCAAAAGAAGACTGTAGAGACTCTAAAGTCCCAAATATTAAAGATAAGCACCACAGAGAAGAAGCCATTTCATCAATTTAAGGCAATCTTTGGAAACAGTCATTTCCATATATTTTGTGAACCCTAAGACAGTAAAGTACCATATAATTGCAGAACAATTTTATTATTTTAAAACGTGGGGCTTTTCCATCCAGATCCACAGGGAGCACCTGTAAGCAATTCTAACAGCTGGGCTATTTTGATAGGTTTTCTCCAGAAATATAGCAGGATTAAAAACCTTCCTGGGCTCCACAGTCCGAAAACAACATGAATGTAAATCCAGGCTGCTCCACATCCACGCTTTCCAAGACAAGATTCCTGAAGCCCTGTGAGGCGCTGTCAATCTGTCTTTAGCTACCGACTTTTTTTTAATGAGTCCCTAGAGAACCCACAATCTGACTTAAGTACATCACAGCAGCAGATGGTTGCCATGCTGTGCACACACAGACACACGCCAGTGTTCCTGAATCCCTTGACATGATGCCCTGAAATCAAACAGGATGCCTGAGAAACGACAGGAAGGTTGTTATTAAGAATCTATTTTCACTGGGTACCCTGAAGCAGGTAAATTTAATTTCTACTGCATCCTTGAATACACACTCGAGCTAAGCCGGAAACACTTGGAAAGTCAGACAGGAACAGAGTGACTACGTAAATTAGTGGGGCAGGATGAAAAGTCCCGTGAAATAGGACAGAAAACCAAAGCCACCATGCTCTCTCACACATGTGAAACACGTGCACCGCCCCACCTGGCGACAGCGGTGCTGCCACACTAGGCTCAGAAAACAACAACCAAAGCCTGTTCTCAGCTCCTTTCCAATCCACTTCTTGCAGCCCTTGTGGGACACTCTTGCATCTCCACCAGTCTTCAGAGGCCTAAGGCTTCCTGCAAACACTCACCCACAGGGGCCTCTCATGCAGCGCTCCTCTGCCAGCTGGGGCCAGATAAAAGGCGGATGCTTATTAAAACTCACTTCATTCTGAGCAACCACACTGTCAGGTCTCCCTAGGATATTTACACCATAAGGAAGCCATTTGCCAACAGAGCTGAAGGTCAAGCAGATGGAACTTCAGATGATTCTGGCGTTTGGGATGGTTTTAGTACTCATTCATTGCTTTGCCAATGGTGAGCAGTCTGGGCAGGAGTTTGGGGGCTGTGTTAGATGGCAATCACCCACCGGGGAGACTCAGGGAACGGACTGGAATTTTCTTTTAAAAATTAAGAAGTCCAGACATGGTGACACAAACCTGTAATCCCAGCTCTCAGGAGCCTGAGATGGAGGACTGAGAGTTCAAGGCCAGCCTGAACTATACAGGAAGACCATCTCAAAGAAGGAGCGGGGAGCCCATGTGAGAAAAAAATGAGGAGTTCGGTCTCAAGGGATCCTTTCAACTCTGAATTGTGTGATCCATGAGACTTCAGCTTGGTCAGGTAAACCCTAACGGTCAGCCCATAATCTGCAGAGCATAGCCGTGTATCCTTTACCCTAATAACTCACTTAGTGCCAAAGATAATGAATTCAGGGCTCAATCCCAGTGAGACAAATTAATTAAATATAACCTTCACAGAGAAGCAGACCAGAAAGGTCAGGGATCCATTCATGTTTCCCCTTCCTAGTCAAAATCATAAAGCCATTAGCAAAATGAAGTGGGTCCGTGGCCTCCTGCAAGCCACCGTCAAAGGACTATCAGCCATGTCTGATGGCCACCGTGCCTTCAGCATCACGCCACTTGAAGCTGGACATCTGTGCAGCCACAGCCTGATGTCTGAAAGGAAACTCCTGAAGCATCTCTCTCGAAGCTGGAATGGTGATGAGATGCCTGGCACATGGGCTGTGGTCATTCTGCTTAGGAGCCAAAGTCCAGAATGAACAGTTGTTTTGATAGGGAGGAGTCTGGATTCCGACATCCTCAAGTGCTGCTCCAGTGCGGTGAGGACAGGGAATTCCTCGAGGAGTCTTTCTTCCTAATTACCATAGAACAGGAGAGCCCCTCCTCTCAGATTTATAGTTTGCCTTTGGGTAACAAATGCTAAAAGCCTGTTGACAATGACGTTCC